TTCCCCTTCTGATAGGAGGTCTACTTCTGGATATTGTGTCTCTATTGGTGGCAACCCGATATCTTGGAAAAGTAAGAAGCAAAGTGTTGTGGCAAGGTCCAGTGCAGAAGCAGAATATAGAGCTATGGCATCAGCTACTTGCGAGCTTGTGTGGCTTAAACAATTGCTTAGTGAATTGAAATTTGGAGATGTCACTCACATGACACTTATATGTGATAATCAAGCTGCTCTCCATATTAGCTCTAACCCTGTCTTCCATGAGAGAACCAAGCACATTGAAGTTGATTGTCACTTCATTCGAGAAAAAATCATATCAGGAGATATCAAGACTGAGTTCGTTAACTCAAGCAACCAGTTGGCAGACATATTTACTAAGTTCTTACGAGGACCTAGAATTGATTATCTTTGAAACAAGCTTGAACATATGATTTATATGCTCCAACTTGAGGGGGAGTTTTAGATGTTAAGATGTGTGTTTCTGTTATTTGGGCTTAGTCTATTTTGTATTAAGGGCATTGGCCCATATCTTACAATATAAATAAACTACCCTATGTGTATGCTAAACACACAAGGGATATTTTCTCTCAATCTTTTCTATTTCTCATAATAGTCATAAAATATATACAATCAACATAATCATTCCAGCTCCACAGAAATAGGTTACCTCTCAAACTACTACTTTCAAGCACAATACAAATCAATTTTATGATTATTTGAAAAGAAACAGATTGTAGAATAAAAACTCAATTACATGAGACCTACACGATTTGTTTATTTAACCATCCTCCCATTGTCTCATGAAGATGAAGAGGAAGATCCCAATGGTACAACGTTACATAAGGTTGTATGCCTGCTGGAAAATAGAAACTTAATATAATTTTTTTAAAAGATAAAAGGATAAGGTAAATTAGCTGCATGCAGATCATACCTCTTTCAAGAAGAGCATTTATAATGTTGTTATAAAAAGTTATCCCTTCGTCATTGATTTTGGTTCCTAAGCCATCTACACCAAAACAACCATTACAATACAACAAAATGATAAATCCAAAGAATCGTTAGCTTCTATATACACTAATAAGACAACACAAATACCATTTTCAGAATGAGAAGTATCTCATCGTGTATGGACTCATTTAGTGAAATCAGTTCGTTTTCAAACTTTTTAACTTCTCTGTATCACCTACTTTACTCCTAAAACCATCAAATGCCCTTGCATAATCTACATTTGTAAACATTTCCATTGATAATACCCTTTCTTCTAAATACCAATCATCTTCCCATACTTGCTGTTAAAATGTAAGAAAGAAAGAGTAACGAGAAGTGTGTTTCTATAGTTATATAACTTTTCTTCTAAATACCAATCCTCCTAAAATGTATTTCTATAATTGTATAACTTTCCTTCAAATACTGAAGAATTTGATTCACTATATACGAGTGTCTTTCTCAAGGATCATGCATAAATTAACTGAACACAGTCACAGCATAAGAAAACTATAGTCTACTGTGAGATAAATAGATGAGTTTTCCCACAAGTTCTTTGGTCTTGGAGATGAAGAAACTCATATTCATGAGTGGCTAAGCGAAGCACCATCAAACATGCAGAAAAGTGTATTTTGAACCAATCATGGAGACTCTGGATTTCTTGTCATGCCATATGGGATCACCAAGTCAGATGAATGAAGCCTTGTACCAGCACTTTCATAAGTTCATTTATGCTTTTGATGACATCTAATACAGAAAAACACGGACTGAACATATGCATCATGTGAAGTTAGGATCTTTAATTGATATCGTAGCTTTAAAAAGGCAAATTCGAACTATAATCATAAACAATTATTTCCTTCTCCTCATAAAATGTTCTGTATTAGTTTAGGATGGCTTCAAATAAGAGGAAAAGTTTTCCACTATGGATCGCAAGGAGGCTTTAGTTCCTTGACCTGTGATTCAATCTTATGAAATGACACACATAACATGCTTTCCCAACTGGTCCCCTCCCTTTCAATCTATAAATAATCCTTTGGTCAACATTTGTGAACAATGAACATATATTTGGAGCAAAAAGATTAATATATTAGCTACTGACTAAGTAATGTTTACACAGATAAACTTTCAGGATTCATGATGTCGGGACATCAAAAATGATTTATGAAACTACTAACCATATAGAAAGCACGTTTAAAATTCATAGGTAGTATAACTTACCAGGAAAAATACGAGACCACGAAATGGAAAATCTGTAAGCATCAAATCCCAACTTGGCTATTAGATCAATATCTTCCTGTTACGATTATTACATTCAGAATGTTAAGATTTGAAAATTTGTGCATAAGGCAAACCAGCAATAATACTTCACAGAAATAATTACAATACCCTAATAAAATTTCATATATCCCTCCATATTCAAGCAAAAATAGAGTCAATGACTTTCCAGCTAAAAGTATTTGGCTTCGAAGAGAAAACAGGTGCGAAATTATCAACGAAGTGGTAAAAAGAAAAAAGATGCATGCATGCAAAAAAGTCAGTCTCCAAGGAAGAAACATTTCTTGAGCAATGTAGTTTAACCCAAAATAAATTGACAACAGCAATATATAAAACGAAAGGCTTAATACCCCTGATGGTTCCTATTTTCGTTAGGTGTGTTCGATTTGATCCCAGTTTTTTTTTTCTGTTTAATGTTGTTCTAAAGAATGTAATTTTTGTTCAATTTAGTCTTTTTTACAAACTGCGTTTAAATCGTTAACGGCATACCGTCCAAGTGTGCACAAGACTAATGAGATGACATTTAACTTCTACCACATCAGCATCTTCTTCAACCTTCAACCCAAAATTAGGGTTCTGCATTTGGGGAAACCTTCCTGCGCCTGCACCGCGAGAAGAAGGAAAACGCTGCTCGTGGTTTTACTTCAATGGAGGATGATTTCGTGAATTGTGCGGCTCATGGTAGCATGAAGAAGACGAACCTAGTTGTGTAAGAAAGCACTCATGGTGGTCGGTGGAGGCAAGCAGCGGTGTGATTTTAGGTTTCTTTGATTTTGGATTTTTCTGGATTTCCTTGTGGTTCTCTACAGGTTGGAGAAGATGATGGCCTTGGAGCTTTGCGCGACGGCGGCAAGGATTGTCGCGTTGACGATGAAGCTCTCGATTTGGATGATTCATGTCTAATGCTCGAGAATGAAGACTCGAATGAAGTTCGAGATTAGGGTGGCTTGCGACATTATTGATGGTGAAGACTTAGTGGTTTGGGTGGTGCGATTTAGCTTTCTCTGTTTCTGGCGGTTTGGGTGGGCGGCTTGAGAAAATCCTGTGATGGCGGAGGCGTTTAGGTGATCTAGGTAGCACGGCGGCCTGAGGAGAGTTTCGTGATTTGGGGGAGATCGCGACTTTGATGGTGGTGCCATGGAGGTTGCGTGTGATGGCTGCCATGGTTCTCTGCAGGAGCGGCTTCACGGCGGCATGGTGACTTTGGACGAACTCTGCGGCGGCGGTGGCGCTGCGGTTCGGTGGCGGCTCTAGGGTTTCGGTTTTTGTTTGGGCGGAAGGTTGAAGAAGATGCTGACGTGGCAGAAGTTAAATGCCATCTCATTAGTCTTGTGCACACCTTTAAACGCCGTTTGGAAAAAGGACTAAATTGAACAAAAATTACATTCTTTAGGACAACATTGAACAGAAAAAAAAACTGGGACCAAATCAACACACCTAACCAAAATAGGGACCATCAAAGGTATTAAGCCAAAAAGAAATAAATGAATATCAAACATTAAAAAAAAAAAAAAAAAAACCTGTTACTGACCATGTACCGATGATAATGATCAACTGCAACATCACCATTGCTTTTGTCAATAATTTTTCCTAATAAAACAATAAAGACAAACAAGTAAAAAAGCATGAAGGGGTGCCATTAACAAAATGATATTGAAGAGTTTCACAATCTATTAATATCAAAGAAAAAGTTCTCATACCGTCAGTGTGTGAGAAGGCATCCCATATGCTAGGACCTCTACCACCCTCCTTGCAACCACCTTCTATCTATAAATTACCAAGTAGTTTAATGTCTAATTGAACAACTTTTCCATCAGTTATAAATATGAAATTACTTGTTTTGATATATTCCATTCTCCAAGTAATTGGCCAAAAGACATTGATCCAAGATCTCCCTATCATAGAATAGTTTATATCTTAATTACCTTGTCTTTCATGATAAGTACACATTACAAGTTATTTTGAACAAATGGTCACCTAGTTTGGCTCTATAGCTATCATAGAAAGTCCTCTTGATCAAAGCCAAATTTAGGATATGGTTAACAGAAATTAGAGGAAGCCGATGTTTAAAGAAAAAGGAGTAAAAAAGATCGAACAAACTAAGCACTGCAGTGTAACCTCAACCGAAGAAGGAAGAACTACAAAGATTAACAAGACCAAGAATTTCTAAGTTCAAATGACAAGATGAATTAGATGAGGTGCAGTAAATGTTTGCAAATCCAAATTAAGTAATGCTATGTAAAAATTTTGTTAAAACACGTCAAAGTTTTTTTTTTATCATCAAACACATCAAAGTTGAACATTGACAGTATAAAAATTCAAGTATTCTCCCAAAAAAATTGTGTCCAAGCACTGAAACCTTAGAACTAGATCTATAGAAAAGAAAAACAATAAAATAGAGTATAACCAAACTAAATAAACTACAACATAAACTTCTTACAGTACCCCAAACGCCAACATTAATACAGAGAAAGCCAAATCAGAGATCATCTTGAAGGGACTTTTTTAAATAATAAAAACAATAAAAGGTTGTTGGGTTCGCAAGAATTATAAGAAAAGACACAAAAACAAGAATAAAGAAACTTTATTTCAATACACAAAGTATGTATCAACACAATTTATATAGCATCTAGTTTGGCATATTTTCTTTATATAGAACCTAGAAAAGGAAACAAGAGAAAACCTCTAAAACAGGAGAAAACATCATCTAATACAACTAATAAAGGGTAGACGGTCTAACAAAACATTACATTACATTATATAATAAATATCTAACAGACTTTCTTGTGTACTCTTCGACTGTCATAATTTTTAGATTCACTACATTACATACATACAGAAAGTTCAATAACAACAACACAACTTTTTCTCTTTCTTCTTTCTTCTTTTGCTAAAAACATAGACCAACAGAATATTTAATAGGATTAAAGAGGTAAAATAAAGAATCAAGGCATTCACATTTGGCAACAAAATGGTGTTCAAAGTGACATAAAATATTGGAAGAATGAATCTGCATTGGCAGGAACCTGGTATGCAGAAGTGGCAACTCCGAAGACGAAGTTTGGAGGGAAGTCGCTGCGGGAGACAGAAGAATTTTCGTTGTGGTCATTTTCTCTCAGGAACTCCTCTCTCTTCACCATTTTCAACTCTCTCTCTCTCTCTCTCTCTCTCTCTC